GTTTTTTATAATGCTCTTGGGCAGGGTTGGTTGAACGTGGAAGGAAGTGTTTTTCTTGTTGGGTTTTAAGGCAAGGCAGGTTACGTCCTCCCCTATAATTCAATTTCCTTATCAATAAAATTCTTGACACTGGACTGGACCCATTCAAATTCTGAGAAAAACTTAACCTGAGACTGCCCTACCCCATAATACTTGGCATGTATGTCAAATTTCAATGCAGACTGGGCCTGGATTGGACAAATAGTGCTTGATCTCAGTCTCAATCTAGGATTGGGCCCAATCCTTTTAAGGTTGGGCTTCAGTTTACTTAAACCTGGCCCTGCCCACCCGAATTGCACCGGAGAAAGATTTTAAAAATGTGAAAATTATTAAAAACTTTTCCTCCTATTTCCATGTTCCACCGCATGGCAGCACCACCGGCCAAAGTAACAATACAACGTAGGGACAGGACTAGCCTGAATTAGGGACTAGAGTTGATCCCAGCCAAACAGGCGCGCAGACTAGAGGTAGAGGAGTTCACAACAGCTACGACCATCATTGCAGCGAATTCTTACGAGTTACGATCACTCAATAAAATCACCAAGGTTCTTTTCGATTTTAAGACAAACAGAGAATATGCATAGTTTATTGGACGGTGAGAAGAATTCGGTGTGGTGAACGCTCACTTAAAACTTAAAACGACTCATGCAAACAACGAGACCTCAGATGAATTGCTCAGAGTCAGAGACCCTTCTACTCATCCTGCAGCAACAAATCCAAGATAGCTCAGAAGGGGCACATGGTTTGTTAGACAAGTCGCTATCTTTCCACGTGGCAAGTTTAACTCCGACACTCCCTACCATGTGTGGCAGAGGTGGACTTCTCCAATTTCGTTTACTAAAAAGGATCCAGAGGTTTGAAAGTCTACAAAAGTTGATATAGATAATCAATTATTGGCCTGACGTGTGGACTGTGAAACCACTTTGACCACTTGATCCAGCTTTCAGACCGTGGGCTTTAACTCAGTCCTGTTGTAGATTCTCTGTCCACCATGGACACAAAAGATTTAGATAGGTCAAGCAGAGTGTCTCAATCCTAAACTGTCAACCCCCAAGAAAAAGAATGGCCAATTGCGTTTCAAAAGGTGATAGATTGACTGATAGTGATGTAGATGGTGTTTGGCATCTATCTGTACATGTTTTCAGGCAAAGCAATTGTATATCTGTTAATATAATTTGGTAGAGAGTGGAGACATCTACTATTTAGGCTTTAAAGTGTGCAACTTTTATGAAAAATTAGAATCCCATAACTCCAAGAAAAGTGTTTTTGGAGTGTGTTACCCAGTTTATAGTGAAGTAAAAAAAAAGTACTTTTAACAATAATAGTAGCGAAAAAAATACTACTTTTAATAATCAACAACAATATTGAAGAGACATATGGTCCCTGTTAGGTACAGACAAATAGGACTCTTTCTGTGCTGAAAGGTAAAGGAAAAAGAAAAAGAAAATTACATGATTGAAGACCACTGCTTCGGCCACGGAATGACAAGTGTGTTACACAATTGTATGATGGAGTATAGACTATAATGTAGGGTGTAGGTCCCTGAAAGTTGCCTTACAAGCTTTTTGCAAAGTATTATCTATGACTGTTTATCATTCTACCAATCTACACATTCCCTAAAACCTTTTCACCACCTCGACTGGGTTCTAAAGCACAGCACTGATATGGGAAGCAAACAACAACCTAACTCGGTTTTAATTGGATTTTAGGGCCGTTATGCCTTTATTTAGGGTGTTTGTTAATCATCATAGAGATCTGAATATCTGATTCTAAGTAATATTTACACCAAAGAATAAAAACAAAGGGGTGTTTGTTAGTGTGAATGGTTTTGGTTTAAACATAAAAAAAAAAAAAAAAACAATTATCACATCACTAAAATTATATTTACCTCTTGCAAAATAAAACCATTCATATTGGTAAATATCCCCTATATCATCCCAATTAACCGTGAATATGTTACTATTGAAAAAACAGCCATTACCCAAGACTGGTCCCAACTTTCAGGGTTTGGGATATACACCTAACCTTAATTTGGCACTTTTGTTTTTCTTCTTTTCTATAGAGTGATCACTTTTGGCTCATATTCTGCCGCTTGTCACCACAAGATTTTATTATCATACCAAGCAGTGGCCCTACTAAATTAGATGATTAAAACTCATCAGAGCTGTTTGGTTTATAGTTAGAATTGGAATCGGAATCGGAATCGAAATCAAAATCTATCGGAATCGATTTGTTTACAGGAATCAAAATGAGAATTTGAATAAGTTGGAATAGGATTTTATTCGCAAGAGATGGTTCAGATCAGTAAAACCTGTTAAATGGTGGGCCTAGATCCGCTACACTTTTAGGACTCAGATCACCGGTGTGGTAGAAGCCAGAAGGGCAAGCAATCAGGCCGACTTTGATGGATTTCATAAATCGAATACGCCCATATAATATTCGTAAATGGGCCATACTAGCTAGCCTGATTCTTGATCTTGGGCCCCGCTGGTTCTTTTTTTGCCATTGATCAATTGATCGATCATTAACACGGCTGGAAGTCCATTCTATAGGGTTTGTCTTAACAATGTTATTTCGGGTGACTGTACATGGTTTCTGTAGGAAACCATTTGAGAGGGGTGTGACAATATCATCCCCGATCTCTGCTGCAAACAAGATGCATAACCATAACCATGGTTTTCAAACTGTCATTCACCTGAACAGTTGAACCGTTCAGTTTGGTCGCCATCTAGGCAATCGGTTTCATTTTACTCTTAATTTATATTATAATAAAATATCATTGACTTGGTGAACAATCTGTTGATCTAGTCAGTTGAACCATTAATTCGGACAACTGTTTTTGGACATTTTTTATTTTTATTTATTTTTTAAATTAGAGTGGGCTATTAATTCAAACTGGGCAGTCGAACCACTGACCTAAAGACTGATGGCTAAAACGGTTCCAATTCTGAATTGGTTTTTAAAACATTGTGTATAACAGGGCTACGAAGCCCAAACACTAAGGCCAAACAATATCACTCCATACTATTTAATGCAAATAGCTCGTTTTTTCTTCTCTTCCCCTCAAATTAGGAGGTGTAAAGTTGGATTGGATTCAGGTTAAATCAGCCCAAGTTGCACTCCTGGTTCAGATAACCTTTCTGATTCAGGATTGCTAGGTTGGTTCAATAATGCATGTTCATCCCCAAAAGCCCGAGAGTGCTATTTCCTGGGCACTACAATATAATTCCACAGGAATCAACTGGGTGCCTTACTTTTGCTTCGTTTGTTTGCAGTTCAACTCCATTTGCATCAGTACAAATGTATGACAATGCATTTTGCTTTGGGTTCTAATTTGTACTCCAATCAAACAAAATAAGATATAAAAGCTGACATAAAAATAAAATCGAAACTTATAATTAAATCATTTAATTTGCACTCTCATACTTTTGCACCACTGCAAATGAAATTGCATTGCATGTGAAGGAAAGCTGGATTACAGGTCTAGGTTATCAGGTCCTGTTTGTTTTTATTTACCTAGGTATCTTCAATTACGTTGGTAGAGAGAGAGAGAGATCAATTACTCTCTAGTATCTTCAATTACCAATATGATCCAATAAATAGAACAATAAATGAATGTGAAAATCATGATCAATTTACTAAATATTCAAACTTAGCTCCCACTAAATACCGACAAACCAATAGATCCCTAAAATAAACTTATCTAAACAATTATGTGACGAAAATTAGCTGATTGTGTTAGTGTCCAGCTAGTTTAAAACGCCATCATCTATTGCTTTTGCTTCCTCAAATTATAACGGGTTCGGAATTTGTTTGGACAAATATGTGTTGAGGAATATGGAAGAAGCATCATTGATAACCTTGTTAAATCATTAATTAAACAAACTTATGGAGATCGAAGTTTTTATTAAATAAAAAAATACGTGATTTTATTCTCTTGATGATAACTTCTGCACGAGTATCTGTAACCCCCACCTCGCCGCCTCACATAAGATTCCCACTAATATTCTTCTAAATCAATTTCCCTTTTTTTCTTGGTGGATTTCTATGCTAGCCCAATAGGCTTTTTCATCACAAGTGCCCATGTCTTTTCTGTACTTCATCGTGGTCCTGTCCCGCTAATAATGCACCCCATAACATGTTTCTTGGAGGATTTAATTGTAGCTTTCACTTTTAATGTATATATGGTTGAACACCCTTAAGCTAGAAAAGCAAATTATAATCAAGGATTAAAATATCAATAACATATATTATATTCGTATTTGCTTTTGGTACATAAATTTTTAAAACAATTCAAGACTGTTGAGATTCTTTAGTGATCATATCATGAAACAAAAAAAAAAAAAAACAAGTGGGTGTTAAATATATCGATATTTTAATCTTGGACTCGATTGAGAAATGAACTTTTGCTACATTCAATATTGATAATTCCGTAGCTCCGTGTACACAACTCAGTTTGTAGTCCTGAAATCAATATGGAACAGTGAAAGATGTAATACAAGAATCAATTTGGGAGAATGTAAATATAAATATATTTAAAAAATATCTATGCACAAAGTTTGTAGTGACCATATTTGTATTTACACTCTTCTCAAACTGAGATTTGGGAATCCTTGCTGTATTTACACTCTTTCTTAAATAAAAGAAATACGAATTTGAATCTTTCTTAAATAAAAAAAAAAATACAAGAATTTAAAATTATTATTTTTTTTTTTAATATTAAATGATTATTAACAACTTAAATAATAATAAATTAATACATTTTCAAAGTTTAGATACTAAATTATCACATTTTTAAATACAATAGAGTAGACCAAGTACTGTGCACTAAATGAGAATTTTTTCAAAGTGATACTGTGCACAACTGTACGCTCTTGGAGCTTCCAAATCAAGACAGAGAGAGAGAGTTATAGAAATCATTGTAAAGCGGCAAGGTAATAATGATGGCAAACAAAACCCAATTACTGAAAAGATGACATGCGTCTCATTCTGGGGAATAAAATAGTGGTCACGGGGGAAAAACACCTTAGAGCGGGGTCCACTCGCTCAATGCTCATTTCATTCATTCATTCATTCTCAGGTATAGGTATTCAACAATCAACACCTTTAATTTCATTTCCATAATTCCATCTCATCATAATCTTCAGTATTACCTCGACGTGATCCACCCATCAATATTAATCCTAGACAACTGGTCTACCAAAACATATCTTCTTTTCGCTTTCAAGGCGGCAAGGCCCCACGTAAAAGCAGATGAGAATTCATTGTTTGAATTGAGGCCCCACGTCTACGTATGAAGATATTGACCATCATCATCACCATCTCTTTTGTTCTCTCTCTCTCTTAAAATAAAAACAGAAACAAAAAAAAAAAAAGTAGTAGATCTTCATAGATCATACACACGATAAGCTTATAGTTGTAGAGAGCAAGACTATAGTTAAAAAAGTTATCACGGCGCCTCCCCCATCAAACACTTTCGGTAGATGGAGGCAGTAAAGGCTGAACGAGGGAGGATGGTTTGGAATGGCTAGACACCGGCCGGTTGTTTCCTTGCTCCGACGCCGGGGCGATCGCAGCTGTTTCCTTTGTAAACTTTCTCTCTTCGCTCTTCCCCCATAGCACCAGGTACAAACCCACAATGATCAGCACAGCACCGATGATCCTGTACAATTAATGCACATAAAATTTAATCAAAAAGAAGAAAACAAAAAAAAAGTAGGTTGAAAGGTAAGGTGTTGGTCGAAGATTGGGGAGTTATAACTGGAGTACCCACCCTCCCAAATAAAACTCTTCGCCTAAAGAAATGGAGGCCATAATAGCGACAACCAAGGTCTGTACAGGTTGATACACAGCAACAAACACAGGGCCACCCCTGTCAATGCACCAGATCTGAACAGCGAAGGCGATCCCCGAAGCCACCACTCCCTGCAACCAGGAAGCTATATATTCAGTTTCAGGTCATCATCATCACATACCCAACCAAAGTACACTCACTCATAATACTACTTTATTGCAAAAAACAGTAAGCGGCAAAGCGATCGAAGAAGATTCACGCTAACCCCATGCATAGACAATCCTGATAGATGTACTGATTAATCAACTAACCGCATAGAAAACACTGAAGAGCTCGGCTCCAGAGTGAACTAGCCAAGCCTGAGAGTTTCTCTCCATGAAGGCGGCAATAACTAAGAACTGTAAAAGACCGAAGAAGCATGTATACGAGGTGACGGATAGACGAGCTGGGTATTTCTTTAGAACCGGGGCTTGTAAGACCAGCCAGCCTGACCAAGAGAGGCAGTGCCCGATGAGATAAATGCACCCCAACGTCCAATTCTTCCCGCTGGCGCCTCCAAGAGAGAGAAAGAGAGGTGTTTGGTGCAGATGGGGAGAGGGCCTAAATATGGTTGGGCCTTTGTAGAGAGTGATGACCGAAGCTCCGGCAACACAGGAGAGAGTTCCGACCACCTTCGCGATGCCGTCTTTTCTATGTAAACGTACTTGTTCTATCCTGTCAACACAATATACCTATACTATATCAGTAGATAGTGTGGGAAGAAAAACCGAGCAATGTGTAAATAAAAAGAGAGCACAAGAGTAGAGCATGAGACGGGAAGTTTATTACCTGAGTATGGCAGCCATGAGAAAGGTTATGGCTGGGACCGAGTTCTGAATAGCAGAGGCGAAGGTGGGTGATGTGTTGTCCAAACCCAACAAGTAGAATCCTTGGTTTGCAGTAATTCTGTTGGGAAATGTATATATATAAAACCCCTAAAATATGATTGCTTGCTTGCTCAAATTTTAATTTTTCGACATATATAATATATCAATGAATCAGTTATGTTGAATTAATCGGTTAACTCATAAATCATACCCGATGAGTGCAAGGAGGAAGAACTGAACCAGAAAATTAGTAGTTATTGCAGGCCTCTCTTTCCTATATTAACAAAGAGCAACAAGTATATATGAATATAGCTAGGTTAAGTATTTCTTTGCATGCTCCAAAGTCTAAAGAAAAGGAAGACAAAGACAGAAACGCGCGTCCAAAGTTGAGATAGGATATCATACTTCTCTAGGAAATAAGCAAAGGGAAGGAGCAGAAGCAAAGCGATGATGTTCCTATAGACAGGGAACACAATCTTGCTTATGCCCATATTGAGGGCCGCTCGTGATACAACGTGAAACCCAGCATAGCCAAACTGCAAGGCCAACATGGCCATGTGCAGTTTGGCCCTCTCAGGCACTGAAAACATTCTCTTAGCCCAGCAGGCCAAACCACTATCCGCCATTGAAGCTAACACCAAGGTAAGGAGAAGAGAGAAGCTAGCTAGCAGAGAGCTAATATATAGACGGGATTAGTAGCTAGATAGAGGAAAATAAATAGGCTGGGAAGCTGCTGCCTGCTGGTGGTGGTGTCCTAGAGGAAGTGTGGGGGCTGTAAATATACTTGAAGGTGTGGAGGACAAAAGCGAGTGTGCGTGGAAGGGTGTCCCACAACCGGTCCTCAAAAGACGTTGTGTCAACTGTTAACACCCTTCAATTGTTTTTGGTTGTCACCCACATTCTCTCTCCTCCACTCCTCTTGGCTGACAAGACAACCCTCATCGCACTACAGAAGACAGAGAGAGAGAGAGAGAGAAGCCGGTAGTCTGTAGTGTTGAGGCTAACAGCTTCTGGTTTGGCTCCATGCCATTAATGATTATAATTGAGCAGGGGGCTGAGCCGCCATTGATAGATATAGCGCGCACGAGCTGGGGGTGGATTCTCCATGCGTCCCCGTCCCCGTCCCCATCGACACACAAGACCCTACCACTTCCACCTTCTATGGTTTTAACTCTGTAATCTCTTCTATGTCATAAGAATTTTTTATATTCTCTGTATGCACTCCGTACGGGCAGTGCAATCTCTACTCGTCAATACACACCATTGGGTGGTGTTTGGAAGGGAAAATCAATTCATGGATTCCATTTTTTATCACCTTGCCTCATCAACCTGTAAATCACTGTAAGAAACCTTATTTGGCAATCCGATTCTTGAAACATTAATACAAGAATTGGGGGGCTAGCTCAAGATCTTGACTTTCGTAGGACTGGGCAATTCTCCAAGCTGAGGGAGATAGCTTTTTTTGAAACTGTGATTACTTTTGCATTACAATGATGTGTCCAGGCCAATAACGTCCAAAAGCCAGTAATATGTAAATACCTAATAGGAGAACGCATATATAGAAGTGCAAATCAGCATCATTTCTACTATAGGTATTTCTAATTAAGAAAAAATGGGTGTTTGTCAAAATTAGTGATTCTTGGGGAAATGATTTCGACAAATTGCTCCCTCTTGCCAAACCCACTAATTAAGTCACTACTAGACTCATTTAAGAAAATGACTTAAACCCATCTTGTCAATTACATTTAGATGGAAGGTTAAAAATTATAATTGTATGCAGTAATTGAGAAATTAAGGAATCCCCACATCAAATGGTGGAGGTGGGAGTGCTTCTCTTCTTGATCAAAGCCATCATTTGATATATGGGATCATTTTGGGTCCGGGATGGATGTCCATGGATGGATTAATTAGCTAGAAAGGAATCCCCATATCTAATCAGTGTGTTGGGGTCCATGGATGGATTAATTAGGTAGTTATATATATATATATAGAGAGAGAGAGACCTGTAATTAATGGAAGAATAATGTGTAGAAAGTACAGGTCCCAACCACAAAAGGAATCTATCTTTTTGCCCTTTTAATAAGAGATATAATTTGTTCTAGTGATCGAGTTTCTGTTTGCTTAATGCAACTCTAGAGGTTTTGTTTGGTTAATGGAACTCTAGAAGACTTCATTAAGGAACCCTCCTAATTAATGAAGTGTTTGCCACTGGTACTAAATATGGATCCCACTCCCAAGGTTGCTCTCCTGTGGGCGTGTTCTGATGCCAACACCTTGCTTTAGGAGACATATTGCCCGCTCGATTGAGACCACCATCATTTTAATTTTTCAAATAAAGAGAGAGCCTCCCGAGGAGTAAATACATATATTGTGACAGCCACGCTTTACAAAAGTATGCATGATATTGTTCTGACCAACCGGTCTGAATTGAAGTAGTCTGAAGTCTGAACCAGTGTCGGACACCGCCTGTGTTTGTGTGTTCCAACCCCAGCTTGCAAATTTTTCGGTTGCCTCTCCATTTTCTTTTGAATTACCTAGTACGTGGCAGACAGCCAGAAATGATTCAGTGTCAGAGTTTTGGATCCGATTGTACAAAGTCGAATCTCAGGTTTGACCCAATTGGGTTTCGGGCCAACTCGTGCAACCCGGTTGACCCCATTGGGAGTAAATTAAAGGCATCCATGGTGATAATTAACAAGGGATTTCTGTTTTGCTTAAAAAACCTTTCAACAGTAGTTCTGGTATTTAGAGCAGAAAAGTTGCTCAGATTTTCAAAAAAGCAGAGAGCAAGGTGGGCTTTATTCATTCCACCCTTTTCTTCTTTAATGAGCATGGCGGAAAGAGAAAAGAATCAAAGATGGGGTTTGGCCATGGGGACAGAATATAGGGCACGAGGGTCACACAACGCAGAAGACACACACCAATTAAACAAGGAAAGAAATCTTTGCCTTTGCCTTTGCCTTGTTGTCACAAAGCAAAACTCAAAGCCTTATATACACTAGTGAATATAATGGAGATGGCCTGGTATCAATCAAATATCAATCTGGAGTCACCATCACAACATGACATGTTGGTAGGCAACACGTGATGGATCATGGATCATGGATCATGGATCATGGATCATGGATCATGGATGCACCCAAAGGACTGACGGGGGGTTACATGCTAGACGGCCGACCACTGAGGAGGCTACTAGCAGCTAACACCCAAACACTCACGACAGTGACCACGTCCCCTTAGCTAAAATACTAAATGCATCATCAGGGAGGATTCCAATGAATACTTGCTTCCAACCCATTGAACAACAAACAAAGTACAATAAAAGCTTAACAATTTAAAACAATCTGGGATATGATATGAGCCAACTTGAGATGGACGGAACTTGCCTGCTGCATAAACATCGCAGCTCATCCATCTCATTTCATGTGATTAATAGTAATATTATACATCATAGATGGATAGAACTGGAAGTACGTAAGACTTGTAATAGGCGGCAGTCGATTAATTCACACTTGTTTAAACTAACCTAGCTACCGAGCTACACACTCTTAGACCTCTAGACCTTCTCATCTGACATCTCATCCATGAAGAATCTTAGAATCGTGGGCAGACTAAAAAAGATTCAACCTAGCTAGCTAGCGGCGGCGAATCAATGCGGCTCATATTTGGGTGAAGGCGTGAAGCTAAGCGGCATGAAATGTCTTCACCCAGAGGATCATCCAATTTCAAGCCTAAAGGAGTGACTAGTGAGATCGGTAAATCATATATATCATCAGATGGCCTGGCTTATTGTACTGTACGTCCAATCAGGACTCAGGAGAGATCTATCAGGCTTGTTGAATAGTTTTAGGATTGGATGAAGCAGTGAGTACGAACAATTTGGGACTAGATGAAGAACGGTTTTTCCGATCCTCTTCTGAAAAACAGAAAACGACTTAAGTGATGGAGTCATTCATCAGTAGGTGAATGATCAATCACGATCACGCTAGGGTTAGGGTTAGGGGAAATTTTGGTGCTTATTCCTTCGTTTTTCTTCCCAGCCAGAAGTGCTGGTTATGAGGAAGGCGCCGTTGTTAGTGATAAAAACAATGATAACGGTTTGTACAAGGTCATCATCCACACCAGATCGAGATGCGGCTTTAGACCGATCGAACCGAAAGCCTTTCCCCTCCTTGGGCATATCCTCCTAGCTTTATGCGGGTTGGCTCTTGTGGATAAATTCTTAGTGGATCTACCCACTAGCAACTCTCTTGAGAGCTTTTGCTTGGCCATTTCAGAGGAAAAAGTGATTCCTTCCACTTCCAAATTTAAAAAAAAAAATCACAATCACTGTACAAGATCTAGAATTCTAGAGTAGACGACCAGTTGGTAGAGAAAAAGAAAATGGTCACATATGCTTTAGCTAGTGGGTCCATCCCCAATGAGATGGATTGATGCAATCCCTTAAAGTGGGTATGTATGCAATTGCAATGGTCCATCAAAAAAAATGGAGCGGTGGATGGATTGATTAATCAATTTCAGTTTCTTATATTTATGTGTCTGTCATGCAGTCTTCTTCTTTAATTCTTTTTGACTGGAAAGACTTCTACATTCATGATAACCTCAGACTCGTTAAGATTGATTGACTGCTCAGTTGCCCCTCTCTCTCTCTCTCTCCACTTCTTTTTATTATTCCTTCTCTTTGTACTGTACTACTAGTAATATAATACAGCATACCTATTAGCTAGATTGAACAAATCCTGTCAAAGTAGATAGTTGTTTACATAGTTGTCTTTTTGTTTTCCTTCTCTGGGCTCAAGTAGGGGAAAGGTCTTCTTTCTAGTTAACATCGAAAGAAGAAGGACCTAATAAGTATAAAACCAGCAATGTATCATGGACCAACCCCGCCTGAATGTAAACTCGATATGGGTGTGGCTGACTGGCTGTGATCATCTAATCTAATTATATATACTGGGTATCCAAGTGTGCTACATGTGACAACGAGGAAACCTTTCTTTCTGAGGAATTTGCAAGGGAGGGACCACCTTTAGTGCAACTCTCTCATTTAGGTTTGGTTCATTCATCAACTAGATATAGGACCAGATGGTATGTACCCCTTCCGTTACTTGAGGAATTTATAGTTTATAGGGGACCACCTTCAGTACTGCAATCCTTTCTCATTTACTGATTTAGGTTTGGTCCATTCACCTCATCAGCTAAATATTATATGGAACCAGATGTACCCATTTGGTTACTTTTCATTTCAAGGCCTCTCTCTCTCTCTCTCTCTGCATTTATTGTGTACCTGGTGTATATATAATGTACCCTTCAGTCTTCTAATGTCTCCTTTGAAGGGAGTGGCTAGTGACTATCTCCATTACCATCTTAACTTTAAAATGCACCATACCGAAGAAGGGTCCCACATATATAAGAGGGAGGAGGGGGGCAAACTTCATTAGAAAAAGTTCACTCATGCATGTTCATATGAAAAGATGAGATTGGAATCTTGGGACAGAAGATGCCTGCTGATCTATCCTTTGACCTTTATTAAGATGACACGTGGCTTCCTAGTAGGCCTTTTGTCAAGATCTGCATCACTGTTCCCACGTATCAGGCACGCGTGCTGCTCATGCATGCATCAGTGGACGACACTTCACTGGCCACTCCCACTCGCAATCAGGAAGGAGGAGGAGTTCATTCATTCATTCATTCGTTCATTCAAGGCACTATTATTAATTAGTAGAACTGATCGCATTCAACTGCAAATCAATCCATCATCTT